CTGCCGGCCAGCCCCATGGCCTCCGACCCCCACCCCCGACCAGCTTTGCTTCCCGCCGGCCAGCCCCGTGGCCTCCGACCCTCACCCCTGACCAGCTTTGCTTCCTGCCGGCCAGCCCCATGGCCTCCGACCCCCACCCCCGACCAGCTTTGCTTCCCGCCGGCCAGCCCCGTGGCCTCCGACCCTCACCCCTGACCAGCTTTGCTTCCTGCCGGCCAGCCCCATGGCCTCCGACCCCCACCCCCGACCAGCTTTGCTTCCCGCCGGCCACCCCTCACCCGTTCTCCCCTGGCCAGCAATGCTGCCTCTAACCCCTCCCAGTTCTGCTTCCCTGCCCAGCCAGCCCTGCTCCTCGCCCAGCCTTCCCTACCCCCTCCCGCCCCCGATCAAGGGTGTCAGGTTTTTTTTACACCCTACCCCAGTGACGTACATGGCCAGTGGGCGGGGCCGTGTATATCACAGTCCCACCCCCTCCTTCCCCTCCCACCGTGGCACTCGGCTGAGTTCTGCGCCACTCTGCCAGGCCACTGCAGGGGATCAAGTGGCGCAAGCGGCCGTTTGGGCTCCCTCGCATGAGCGCGCAACACTCAGCCGAGCCACCACAGAGGGAGGGGAAGGGGGCGGGGCGGTGACGTACACGGCCAGGGGGCCGGGCCGTGTATGTCACCGCCCCACCATCCTTCCCCTCCCGCCGTGGCACTCGGCTGAGTTCTGCGCCACTCGTCCGGGCCGCCGTGGGGGAGCAAGCGGCCGTGTCTTATGACGGGTTAATTGGCTAGTAAAGAGTAATGGGGTTTCTTAGCTGACTATCTCGGGGTTCTTATCTGTTGTGAAACTTGTCAGTGAGGTGGTAAAATGAGCCTGTTGCAATGAACATGGCCTTATGGGAAAGCATCAGAGTGAAGGGCACACAACCTCCATTGTGGGAGAATCAGAGCAGCCTCACTCTGAAACTTTCTTGTCTCTCCTTTGGAGCTTTTCTGCACAACGGTATTCCTTGGAGGATGGAATTTCCCACAGCCAGGCCCTAGTCCTGGAATGAGCGCCATGCCCTCTTCCTGGAGAGCTCCCTGATTCCAACCTGAGGGGGCATTGCCATTTTCAATCACAGAGGGCATGTTTTTCTTTCTCATTAAATATCTTCAGCTACGTCCAACTTCATCACTTAAACTTTCTTACAATATTTGGTGCTGGGACTTGTATTGCCAAGTCATGCATTAATGGAAAAAGCTGTTCCCAACTAGCAACTGGTGTGATGTAGGGTGTGCCTTCCAAGACAGACCAGCTGCCTCTACCTGTCAATTAAAGAGCTGGGATCTTCACTGGTGTCGTGTGGTAAACAAGACACTCTCCTCGGATCTGCTCCTCCTGCCTAGATCTGCAATTATGTTCCATCGCCCAGTGATCAGGACAAACAATGCACCTGGCTTGTGTGAGCTCTTATGCCTGCGCCCCTCATTAGCCCTAGATTGGTGTCAGTAGCTGGATATTAAGGGCAGCGTGAGGGGCGTATTGTATGGTGCTCGATTCAGTGAGTGGAGATTGAGAAAGGAACACAGGTGAGGGGGGTGGTTTCTAAGTGTTAGAGCTGTTTAAACCCTGCTGCTCATGTTGTTATTTAATGCAATGCAGTGAAATTGTTTCTCCTTGCTGTACTGAGGGTGGGAAGTGGGGTAATTATTTTGAAGTAGTGAGGTGATTTCCTCCCCGTGGCTTATCTCTAAGTTTCTTGCTGTTAGAAAACCTTTCAGGTTAGGGTTAAAAGTGCTTTTCCTCTCTGTCGGAGGTGGAATGCTGGGGGGTGTTTGTCTAACAGCAGGACTGGCTGACTGGCTTAGAGGTGGGAGCAGTAAAAGTAGGGAGGGCTCGTCTTTGACTCTCTGCTCTCCACCTCTGAGTAAGAAAGGAGGTGGGTCTGTACTAGGATCACAGCCTTTCTTTAAGAAGGAGCTGCCAAAATGCTAATAGTTTTCATTGTATTCAACTCTCACCTACATGAAGAATCTCTTTCATTAAGCAAATGTCTAGGTATCCTAATTTGAGATGCTAATAAGGTCCACTCCAGGTGCACCTTTAATATTTTATATCTGGGGTTTTTGGAGTCATCAGGGTTCAGGCATTCCAGCTTTCCCTTCACAGCTAGAGATGTTCTTAACACATGCTTGGATTCAACCAATTGCATATGTTGCTGGAGTTCAGGGTGGGTGGGAAGAAACACTGGAATACAGGGGTTAAGTGCTAAGAGTATGATACTCCCTTCATGCAAATACATGTAACTTAAAGTACCTGAGACTACTCTGATCTGGTGTAGAAAGCAGGCCAAAGCACTCTAGAAAAACCCATAGGTCCCTGATAGGTACACCTATAATCTGTGTCTGAGAGATCCTATCCTCAAAGCCTCTGTATCATGTTTCAAGATATTCTTACAAATTAAGTAAAGGGAATCTTGTTTCCCTTGTTTTGGCTGGCACAGTCAATGTTTTGACTGCTATTTCTTGCACAGTGGAGGAAAAATGATTATACATTAATAAAACTTTCTTTTAAATTATAAAGCATAGGGAGGATCGAGGAAACAAATTACAACACCCTGATAAGCTGTGCTCAAAACTTGCCTAGATGTGATGCAGTACACCCCTCTTGCTATATTGGGGAAGATGAAAGTTCTCTGTATGCTGTTCATGGGCGATCTCAAACTGAGTCGAGTTTAAAGTGCTTGACCTTTCAATCTGATGTGAAGTCTCTAACACTTTCCAACAGAGAAATGAAACTCATGAGTAGAGAGGTGAGCTTAATTCCAGGGACCTGACTGAACATATGCATGGGTGTTTGCCAAAACAACAACTCCACCAACGCTCACCCCCAAATGGCTGTGGCTGGTGTGGTGTAGTCAGGGCCTGATGTTACCATGGGAGCTACCATGCACCCATTCTGTGGCCCAGACATGTTATTATTAAAATTGACATGTCTGTGAGGGGGAAAATCTCGCTCCCCTGGGGTACAGAGCCCCCAGAAGGGTCCGAGGCCGGAGGTCAAATCAGTGAGGCAGGAGAGAAACCTAGAAGAGAAAACTTTATGATGCATGCATGCAGGCTGTCACACCAAGAGTGAAGCAGCAGCCTTGACAGACAGATTCAGGTATCCTTTATACAGAATGCTTAGACAGTTCAGTTGTTGATTGTTCTTCTTTAACATATCAAAGTCTCAGCAGAAGTACTCTGAGACTTCTGTTCACCCCAGGAGTGCTAGAAGTAAGTTTTTACAGTACACAAAGCCACATGAGAACTTGAGTGGAGGAGTCTACAAAGCAAATTGTGACAAAGATAAGGGTTTACATGACAAATTGTGACAGACTAGGAGTAGCCATGAACTTGAGATAGGAGGCATTGTAAGGGTCTTGATTAGAGTTAATTTGATTTCTCTCTGTTACAGGGAGAGAGGCCTGGAAAACTTTTTAACCCTTACAGCAGTTTTCTTTTAGAGAGTTTTGATTTCCTGCACAGTCCCTCCCTTTAGACACAATTGGAGTTATTGGATTTTCCCCACATCTGGTTCTCATACCTGTGAAGAAAACCTCCATACAAGCTAGTGATGACCTCTTGACAGCCAGAAACAATGACCCTTAGAGCAAGTCCTATTACACCCACCAACTGGGAAACAAAAGACAGGACGATGCAGCACTTTAAAGACTAACAAGATGGTTTATTAGGTGATGTCTTTAAAGTGCAGCATTGTCCTGTCTTTTGTTTCAGCTACACCAGACTAGCACGGCTGCATCTCTATCACTATTCTACAACTGGGAAACAGATCTTTGAAATTCACGGATAACTAGACGCCCACTATGAATATCCCTGAAATGACTTTTTTTTTCCCATATCCCCAGCCCCTTGTTCCTCCTTCTCTAGTTACCAAAGCATCAGGCTTTGTCAGTTCTGCCCCATTCTATGTGAGCAAGGAGGGGTTGTGTTTGACTTTGAATACAATGCTTCATTTAAAATCAAACTTGAGGCGGTAGGAGGAACCTGCCCTTGTCAGCTTGTGCTCAGGGAGGACACAAGGGGACTGACTTGTATTAAACTTTGTTTAGGTTTCTTAAGCAGCCCAATCTGTGGGCCCCGTGCAGAAATGGGCGGTGGGAGTAAGCTTGCCACAGGCTGGCTATGGGTTAGCCATGGTACAAATGGGGGAGCGGAACCTCCCCTGACTTGCCTGAGGGCTCAGTGGGTTCCCTGGTCAGTGACCCTCGGGGAA